ATGTTTGGTGTCTATTTACCCGACGTGACCCCGCTTTTTATATTTTACCAAAAATATGGGTAATAAATGGGTGTGGTTACTAGGGGTGTGGTCACTAAAGGGTGTGGCCACTGAGGGGTGTGGTCACTGAGGGGCGCTGTAAAGCTTTCTCGCACAGGGCGCCTAAAGACCTAAGGCCGGCCCTGTTTAAGACCAAGCCAAAGCTTGCACTGATTAAGATCTGAAACAACAAGATTTACTGCTGTTTGTTGGACCTGATACCAACTTGGCAAGTGATGCTATCTTTTTACATTTCACTATTGACATTGCATAGAGAGTGACTGTATCCATCACAAACATCATCTTGTTTCTATGGAAAATCTGGGATTTGTTCCACAAGCTGTGACTCCCCAGCCCTTTTACCCATTTGAAGCTAACTTCAACAACCGTGAAAGTGCTTACCTGAGAGTAAAGACTATTCCAGTATCCTTTCCCTCTTTACACCTTTTCACTCCTACCATATGCATGCAAGTGGTGGTTGAGATATAAAGGCACCGGGTATATGTGCTTCATATAGTTTAACCCACTGCGTGATGTTGCAGTGTGTGGTATAGCAGAAATATGGATATCTCCATTGATCATCAAAATCTTGGACTGGATTCATTCATTTGAAGCACTGTATAATTACGCAAGAACGCTTTATCACTGCAATATTTCCAACAAGACCTCTGCATATATGGGGTAAAGTAATTTGAGTTTTGTTACACAAAGAGTTTGAGTAATATTTAACCATCTCCAGGAGAAAGATACAAAGGGGATAAATTAATATTCATTACATGATGGGGATGCATATGAAAGTCTTTCTCCTGATACATCTTGATACAAGCTTTTATCTTTGAACTGACTTTAGTCACACGTGGACTCGTTTGCTTTTACTTGATATTACAACAAAGAGTTTTCATCAAGGTTACAATTACCGGGATCCCGTGTTTTAAATATTTTTAACCATTTATCTGGATGAGGTGTTGCAATATAAAGAATAGATTATTGTGAATGCATCTCCTAATACACCTGTATAATTAAGTGTGATTTATTTTTTTTCATTATGAATTTGTTGGCTCTTTTTGTCTGAGGTATCTCTGCTATCAATAGGGCTTTGTTGCAATATTAAAGTGCAATATAGGCTTTGACTTTAGAACTCCTTTAGCAGACCAAGTTGTCCAGCAAACGTGGCCGTTAAAGGTTGAGGTAAACCATTTAACACTGACAGGAGTGCTTACAATGGTCAACTTTTAATCCAGTGGTAAGAATGCCCCCCTTACAGATGGCTAAAAAGATCATTGGTGTCTGCATTTACTTATCTGAGAGACAGAAATTGCTCATTCCTCAAGGAACCCCTAACAGCCTCTGGAGGAACCCTAAGGTTCCATTGAAGTGTTGAGGGAGCCTGAATAGAGAGTAGGCCCCCAAAGTCAGCATCAATGGTTGTTAAGTAAGCTGTTGACTGTAGCCAGCAGGGTCCTTAAGAACCAGTGACACTACAAGTGGGCGGGGCCTGATGGGGACGCTGAGGTATTGGTATCGGCTATGGTATCCCCCCCACTGCCTGTTTGTAAATCGGCAGTCGAGCGGACCTGATGGGGAACTAGTACCTCAGTATCCCAATCGGGCTCCGCCCCTTCCCACAGTATAAGTTGTTAGCTGCTGCGTCTGTGTAACAACAGGTGTAGTGGCCAAGCAGAAACAGCCAGTTCACACCACAAAGAGTGTGTCCCAGAGCATTCCGCCTCTGGAACGCAACCCGGCCACCTCCCTGCATTCAGGGGCGGGAGGGGGCGTGGTGATGCATTGAAGTCAATGGCACTGCAGCCACGCCCCCCACCCGCAGTGCGATCGCTCGCACCCGATCACGTGGCACAATAGTGCCTGCCTTCCGGTCCAGTGCGATCTGCAAAAATAGTACATGCAGTATTTTTGCAGATCACACTGGACCGGAAGGCAGGCACTATTGTGCCACGTGATCGGGTGCGAGCGATCGCACTGCGGGTGGGGGGCGTGGCTGCAGTGCCATTGACTTCAATGCACCGCCGCGCTCCCTCCTGCCAATGAAAACAGGGAGGCGACCAGGTTGCATTTCTGAGGCCGAACGCTCTGGAACGCACTCTTTGTGGTGTGAACAGGCACTAATGCAGAGCCTGTGATTTTTATCAGGCTTAGCTTTACTGAGGACAGAGTGTCTGGTATGGACACTTGGGCCTTAGTGCGCCTCCACAATATTAGTGCTTATGCCAAATTTATATACCGGTTCCAACATCTACATGAATCTTGGGCAAGCACCGGCATTTGTCTGACAGGATTCTTAAGAGTGTTGTAGATGCTCTTTTATGAATTCCTTTTATAGGCTTAAAAAGGGTAGATATGTGTAGCCACACACCTAGATGTTAGGTTAGTGTGGTCATACCTTTTTACAGATGATTTCTGATGGTTATGAATTACTACATGCTGCACACAATTGTCTCTCTAGCACAGCGTTTCTCCACCTTCCTTTTTTTTTTAAAGTCCCGGTACTCTCAGGCCCCGTTCACATTGAGTGGTTCGCAAATTGCGCGTTTGTCACGCGATTTGCATTTTGCGCGATATCGCGCAAATGCTTGCATTGAGCAAGCTTGAATCGCGGCTAAATCCGCTGCAAAAAGGGTCCTGCTGTAGCGACGCATGACCCGCGACAGCAGGACCCTTTGCCCCATTGAGAAGCATTGGAGAGCGATATCGCGCGGTAAATTGCCGCGATATCGTGGGAATTGCCGCGCGGTAAATTGCCGCGATATCGTGGGAATTACCGCGCGATAAATCGCTCAATGTGAACGGGGCCTTAGAGTATGCAAAAACTCAGAGCACCCCATCTAAAATATGAAACCCATACCGTATTTTTCCGTGTATAAGACGCTACTTTTTCATTAAAATGTTTACCCAAAAATAGAGGTGCGTCTTATACACGGGGGCCGAGAGGAGAACCGCGGTTTGCGAAACTGCCGAAAGCGCAGATACCACTGCAAACTAGTCTCATGAGTGAAACTTCGGATTGCAGAGACGAGACAAGTCTTCCTCCAATCGTAAATCTTTTGTACCTGACATCAGCTGTTGCTGGGGAGAGTGGAAGAATGCTGTTATCTTGCCTCTGCAATCCGCTCTCCCAGCAACAGCTGACGCCAGGCACAAAAGATCCACGACTGGAGGAAAACTGTTATCTAGTCTCTGTAATCCGATCATAAATCTTTTGTAAACCGACGTCCGCTGCTGCCAGGGAGAGCGTGTAGCCAGTGCCAAAGCTGTAATGTCGGAGCATAACGTGATTGACTCAGAGGTAAATGTGATGAATTACTGTATTTTTCCGTGTATAAGACTATACTTTTTTCTTAAAATATTTACCTAAAAATGGAGGGGCGTCTTATACACGGGGGGCCGAGAGGAGAACCGCGGTTTGTGAAACTGCCGATACCTCTGCAAACTAGCCTCACGAGAAACTTCCGATTGCAGAGACAAGCTAACAGGTTTCGTCCAATCATGAGCCTTACGTACCAGACGTCAGCTGATGCTGCGGAGAGCGTGTAGCCAGTGCCCAGATGCAAAAGGGAGCAGTAATGTCTGAGCATTCTGAGCCCATAAAAATGCCAGAAAACCAAAAAAATACCGGTACCAGTAAGCGGCTGTCTTACTCTGCAAAATTTAAACTGGATGTAATCAGTTATGTAAAAGAGCATGGAAAATATTGATTTCTGAATTTTGGGTAAGAAAAGTGGGGGGTGTCCTATAGATTGGGACGTCTTGTAGACGGAAAAATACGGGTAAATGTAAAAATGTGTGGGTTTTAGAGAGCACCCCACGCAAAAGCACAAAAAAAATTGGGGGCCCCCCCCCCCCCTTTCACTTTAGGAGCCGCAATTGTAGCAGCATAGCAGAGTGTGGGAGGCAGAGCAGGCCTGGATAAAGGTGAATTTCTGTTCTTTTCTGAATGGATCCCACCTGATTACCTGACAGAACCATGGAAAGGCATGACACTGCAAAACTTTCAAGGCACCCCGGTTGAAAGGCTGCCATGGCACATACATTATAGTCATAAAGTAGAACTGCAACTTTGTTAATAAAGTTATGTTTTTCAAAATACCTTCTATAATCTGACCTGCAATTAATTTTCCTCCCATGTCACCAGCCTTTTTGTAATCCAAATACAAGTTCCTTCAGTTTACTGCCCAATTTTGGCTGTGCAACAGTAAGCATTGTAAAGCTATTTCCTGAGGAAGACTTGTAGTTTAGACTGCTACCCTAGTTCTTGAGACCGCAGAGGTGACCTCAAAATGTTCCCAATGCTACTGTTGGGCAGGATTGAAAGAATCTCAATTGTCATTCAATCCTGCACAGTCACACCTACCTACCGGGCTGCACTTTAACATACAAATTCTGAATACAAGTAATGTCTACCACCCGAGCCCTGCTCAGAAAGGCCTAGAAAACAGGTCCTAGGGGATCAAGAGACATGTAGGTTTAAGAAATTAGGTGGGCCGCAAATGGGAAGTTCCCCCAAGTGCCCTGGACTTGCAAAAAGCGTTGGAGAGGAGGAATGACATCACGGGTACTGTACACCACTGTATACAACGCTAGATGAAACAAGGACAAAATTAGCAGTTTGGGTGTGGTGACAGGTCTGAGGAAGACCATAAATTGCAGTGGTGAGATAATCCTGTAGTTTGAATGCACACATTTGGTGTGAATGTAATATGTTATATCTGTATTGCAGGGTACATGTAGATGAATAAGAATACCGCTGTGAGCGGTAAACCATGTTTTCAGTCTTTTTAGAAACCACAATGAGGTTGTTTTTTTTAATCAAATATATAAATGCTGAATGTCATATTGATGATAAATTGGTATTCTAGTTGCTATATAGCTACCATATGAAATAACAATGACTTCCAAATCAGCTGCTAGTGAGTGAAACCTAAACCTGTGGTATCTCCTTGCAGTGATAACCCTTTCTCCGCTGTCAGTAGAGGATGTTGAAGAGGGAGCTACAGAACCTAGGCACTGTGAGTACTAGTCTGCAAGTTTATATGGTAGAACCTGTGTGTAGTCTTATTTCCTCATACCTCAAAGAGATGAGGCTTTCAGTAGTATCTGTTCTACATTTATAACAGGATTAACCCCTTTCATTCAGAAGAGTATTTTAAATAACTCCCCACAGATTAATAGGTCTGCAGCTGTCTTGTTAAGCAGCAACATGTTATTCATCCTTCTGTCATGTACAGTTGTGCTCATAAGTTTACATACCCTGGCAGAATTTATGATTTCCTGGCCATTTTCCAGAGAATATTTATGATAACACGAAAACCTTTCTGTCACTCATGGGTAGTGTTTTTGGCACCTGTCAGAATACCCAATATAAACAGCTGGATTCCTCAATCGACACACTGTGTTGATGGAGGAATCGGGTCAATTTTTCTTTTGTTCAGCTTGCGGGTTGAACGAAAAAAATTAAGTCTCTATGGCCAGCCTAAGAGTTCCTGGCCATTGTAAGCTGTCTGGTGCTCCCTCTTTCATGTCCCCGCTCTCTAGCAATCACTTGATAGCAGCTAATAAACTATGGCAAATCACACTTTCTAAGGTAAAGCAGCTGCGCCAGCAGCTGAATGTACACAGCAGGCTCTTGCCTAATAATATCACCAAAGACCTACCGAGCCTCCCCCTGTCCCATTCATCTGTCAGCGGCAGGATTTTGCCGCCAGCAGCTGAATGTAAACAGGAAGCAGTGGGCAGTGCAATAGCCAGCCTGCTATTGGCTATTTCAAATTGCAAAAGCCAATAGCAGGCTGACTTTTAAACCCACCCACTGCTTGCTGTCAATCAGCAGAGGAGCAGACCTGAAGGAGAAAGTTCTCCTGCCCACTGCCATCAGGCAGTGGGCAGGATGCAATAGCCAGCGTGCTATTGGCCATTTCAAATTGCAATAGCCAAAAGCAGGCTGGCTTTTAAACCCGCCCACCACTTGCTGTCAATCAGCAACCGCGGCACCCACTATGGCAATTTCACTGTGTTTATTATCATTGATATCGATACGTTTAACCGATACCGATAATTAAAAAATCGGGGAATATTGGCCCCCGGTTATCAGTAGATTGTAGTTTGTCCCTACCGCGCATTGCTGTAATGCACAATAAAACACTGTACCAAAAGCCCTAGCATACAGTCTGTATGGATATGATATCCTCCCTCCCTTTTCTGATTGGTTTGAAACATTCCAACCAGCTGGGAAAATAAGGGTGTAGGAAGCTAAAGTGAAAGTACAGTAAGTAAAGTGCATTCATGCACAGTTTCACAGCTCTTATCTAGACTTGCTGGAGAGCTGTTAGAGGAGAGCGGGAGCAATAAAGACTTCTTACAACAATCTCCATGCACAAGTACTGATAGATGTGAGAGCAAATGGAATGGCATGGGTCACTTTAAGCAGTAATGTTTACATTTAAATGGAGAATAACTTGAACTTCCCCTGTTTGTTTGTTTATTTCTCTAGCCCCTCTGCATCTTTGCATTTATTATTTGGATGTAGACAATTAAGATGACCATATACTATACAATTTGATCGTACAACATCCTTTTGATTTAGCAGCAACTGTGCAGCGCAAAGACCTCCCTAATTTGATACAGATTGAATGGACCTGTATCCCAGAATTGCTTTGTTTTTCTGGCTTTTCTTTCTTTTTACACCTTGTACATCATATGTGCTATATGCTGGCTTATCTGAAAGAAGTGGCGTTGCTTGTAATACTGGAATAATATGTGTATATTTTTACAAGAGACTAGGGAGTAGATAAATGTGCACAGTGGCCAGCCTTCTGCTGTACATTGGTAATTTATTGTGTTGGTTAAGAGGTTTTTCGTTGTACATTGTCACATCACTGAATAAAGGCCTGTTTATAATGGCACCTGGCTACATTGTCCACACTTAACCCATTGAGCTTTCGGACCTGTGTGGACCAAAATAATTTTTGTTATGAGCCCACTGATTCAGCATAAGTTTTGTCATTTACTCATTATACTGAAGTATTACTTTAGGGGTGGACAAATTACTATGGAATTCAGAAGCCAGTCTTGATTTTTTTTCTTTTTTGTGGTGCCAGCTCCATTGACAACAGCTAGAGAGCTTGGCACCAGCTGTAAATTTTAGGTAGCATTGGCTACCTAAAATTCCTGGCATTTGTACAGCCCTGTGCTACCTATTGTGGGTTTTTTTTCTTTCTTATTGGGGCTTGTTGTCTTCCAAAAATATTTCTGTATATTGTTAAGAAAAATATAACTGGTATAAATACAAAAAAGTAATGTAGTAGTTTTCCAATTTAGCCAGAGATAGCTTTAGGGTTTGTCCACACAATGTCCGGAGCAGATCTGCAAACGTCAGTGCAGTGCTTTTTGCCGCAAGTTTCTTTTGCTTAAAATGGTCTTGCAGGTGCAGCCCAGTGCATTTGTATGCGTTTTTGATACGTTTCCATGCTTTCCAGTTAATTCAGACTTGAGAAAATGAGACCAGCGCTGGTGTGAACAGAGCCCAGAAATACCATAGGGATACATTAGGATGCTTTTTTTGGTCCGGGAACAAACTGTTCTGGTCTGGACATGATCCAGACATAGTGTGAGCAAGTCCTTAAAGCAATTGGCAATATTAAAATCATAAAAGCTAATTTTATTCTTTAATTTGCCTTTTAAGGACATCATCAAAGCTGTCAAAAAAAAATAGGGGAGAGGTGATTTAATTAGGGCTAATACGGGTTAGCTTAGAGTTAATAAGGAGTAACATAGAAACTTAAACTCTACACCAAAATATATTCTGATCATTTACTTTTTATTCAAGTTTTGCATAGATACAAAGGTATAAATCAGCACAAACATAAGTTTGAAATAAAAATAAACAAGAAAACATATTTCCAATTAAATTATACAATGGTATAATCCAAAAGGAGGGGAAGGGAGGGAGAAAACCTTTTTCTCATATTCACGGGAAAGAAAAAACATCAGGTAATGAAGCAACGCCATTAGGGCTCTCCAATGATTGCCAAGGGGACCACACTTGTTCAAATTCGGGGATAGTGTTACACAATCAATCCGTTAGATATTCCAAGTTATGGATATCATGAATCCTTCGTAGCAATTCTGCATGTGACGGAGGTATAGGTTGTCGCCATTTTAAAGCTATAAGGCATCTTGCTGCAGTGAGGACGTGGTTAACAAGTTTAGTAGTAGTGATGTTTTTATGTTGCGGTCGGTCTCAGATGTGAACCCAAATAATCTCTACAAATATGCGAGTGAAAATTCACCTCCTGTTTAGTATGCCAAATCCAAATATTTAAATTATAAGTATTTTTGACTGTGCAACAGCCAAAATAATAAGGAAAAGAATAAGGAGACACAAGGAACTGCACATTCATGTTTATTAATGTATCAACAGCAGGTCTAATGTTGAGAATTAGATTGTGATTCACAAGTTTGTTGAAGCCAAAAATACTTATAATTTAAAAATTTGGATTTGGCATACTAAACAGGAGGTGAATTTTCACTCGCATATTTGTAGAGATTATTTGGGTTCACATCCGAGACCGAGCGCAACATAACAGCATCACTACAATGGTTATATTATCACACATTGTTGCAGCTGATTCATTTGTTTGATATTGTTTTGACACATACATACTCCCAGCGCAGCTATTGTCATCTATTCAAGTTTAGTAGTAGATTTCAAAAAGTGTGGAATAGGGAGGCCTAAGAGCAGATATACTGGATCTTCTGGTATAATCTCATCGACTAATATTTGGAGCAGAGATATTATAGACTTCCAGAAGGGACGTATCTTGGAACATTCCCAGAATACATGCAGTAAACTGCCCTTTGAGGTTGTACATCGCCAGCATGCTGATGGCAGCGAAGGATTCATATGATGTAACAAATCTGGAGTACGGTACCAGTGATAGAGAATTTTGTACTGATTTTCCTGATATAAAGTGCAAATAGAGGTCTTGCTAGCGTTAATCCAGATCTCCTCCCAGTCTTCCATGTCCAATGCCCAAAGCCCTCTCCCACTTTAAGCATATAGTTATGTTTAGGGAGGGGAACGGCAGGAATCGAGTTGAGTAATTTATAAATGTCTGTTATCAAATGTTTACGGGTAGGGCCATCTAAGCACAGTTTTTCGAATGATGTTGATGGCGAGAAAATGAGTGAAGAAACTGTATATGCAAAATGTTTGATCTGAAGAAATGTAAAAAGGGATCTGGTTGGTAGATTAAACCGAATTTGTAAAGTAGGGAAAGGCAGTAAAATCCTGTCTACTTTGTGAATTATGTCACTGAAGCGAAAGAGGCAATGATCCAACTAGGGACGGACAGTATAATGATTAAGTGTAGCGGGTAGAAGGGGCGTATAAAGAAATGATCTTGTAGGAGTAGTGGTTGAGGTGAGATTAAATTTAGACCTTCTTCTAAAATTCCAAATATCTTTAGTATGATGCATAGTAAATAAAAGCGGGGGGACGTATATAGACTTGAGGTTAGGCCATAGGAGGGAGTTTAAATGTAATGGGGAGATCCAGAGGTTTTCTATTTCTGCCCATCTGCTAGGAAGGTGTAAGGAGGACCGGGAAGCCAAATGGCGCAAGTGAACAGCTAAGTAATATTTGAATATATCCGGGAACGCCAGTCCACCCAGTGATCTGGAAGCTATTAAGACTGTCCTGGCGACTCTATGAGCAGCGCTGTCCCATGTGAATTGGAGAAGTAGGCGTTGCAAGATTTTAAGATCTTGTGTAGGGATTTTGTCCCAAAATAGTAAAGCAATTTTGGCAGGATAATCATTTTAATTGGTCATTTTAGTTTAGTTAGTTTAAAAACACGTCCTTTAATTTGTACGCCAGAGATGTCTGGATAATTCCTAATGTGGCTTGCCAATGACTCAATACAGAGAGTGAATAACAAAGGGGATAGGGGACAGCCCTATCGAGTACCGTTGCGTATAGGGAAAAAAGAGGATAATGAGAAAGGAAGTC